AGGCATGATGTCTTCCACATCACTGGTACCCTCTGCAGACTCAAAGAAAGACATGCAAGAGTAGTTGCAGACAAATATAACCCTTTAAGATGTTCCAGTGAAACATGGAAAACAGCTTAATGTTGTTTTGTAGCTCCTTCAATTTATAGGCAGGAAAGCTTTTCCCAGTTCAGTGTGCAAAACAAGCTAATGTTCAAGTGTCCTGTAACCTGATTGTAAGTATTCTGCTTTCAAAACAGTCAAAGCAGGCAGTCTGTGCAGCTGAGCCTGGAAATAGAGTCAGCTGTCAGGAATCATAATGCACTGTGATACACAGAATAAAAAGGCTTCAATGTGTATTTAGAAGCATATGAACAATCAACCATGAAAGATTTATCTATGGACTATAGGCCTGATAGTTTCAGTCACCTAAAATATCATGCACTTTTTTATATCACCATTCAGTTAACGGGTGATGAGAGAAATGGATCTTTTGTGCTGCCTTAACTACACTCTGAAGCCTCGCTCTGTCCTCCTTAGTGCCGCTGCCGTACCATACTGTGCTGCAGTAGGTTAGCAGGCTCTCAATGGACGAGGGGTAGAAGGTCAGCAGCAGGTTGGAATTCAGCTTGTACTTCCTGAGGACCATCAGGAAGTGCAGCTGCTGTTGGGCCTTCTTGACGACCGCTGAGATGTTGTCTGTCCAGGAGATGTCAGCAGAGATGAGGACACCAAGGAACCGGAAGGTGTGGACCCTCTCCACACACTCCCCGTTGATGTAAAGGGGGGCTAAGTCAGTGCTGTACCTCCTGAAGTCAGCAATGGTTTTCTTACTGTTCAGTGTCAGGTTGTTCTCCGAACACCAGGATGCCAACTTCAGGACTTCCTCTCTGTAGGCTGCCTCGTCTCCCTTTCAGATGAGTCCGACTACCGTGGTGTCATCAGCAAACTTGATGATGAGAATGTTGTTGTGGGTCGAACTGCAGTCATGGGTGTAGAGACAATACAGGAGGGGGCTCAGCACACAGCCCTGTGGGGAGCCGGTGCTCAGTGTGCGAGTGGAGGAGAGATGAGGGCCGAGGCTTACAGTCTGGAGCCGGTTTGTGAGAAAGTCCTTTATCCAGGCACATGTGAGAGGAAGGAGGCCAAGAGTGACCAGTTTGGTGATGAAGATGTCCAGGATGATTGTATTGAAGGCTGAGCTGTAGTCCACAAAAAGCATTCGGACGTAGCTCTGCCACCTCTCTAGGTGACTCAGCACAGAGTGGAGGGCTGTGGCGATGGCGTCTTCTGTGGATCTGTTTGTGCGGTATGCTTGGGTGACCAACCGTCCTCTTTTTCCCAGACATGTCCACTTTTCATGTTCTGTCCAGGGCGTTCGGGGGGATTTTCGAGACTGATGAAAATGTCCGGGTTTTCCTATAGGCCTACATATGTATGACGTCATCTCCAAGCTGCTGCTTTCCGAGACACTTTCTGCACTCGCAGACGGGACAGACAGCGCGCAGCAAAGCGCCTGGTGATGTTTAAAAGATGCCAAAGTGCAACTGCAGCTTTTCAGACGAACTGCAAAAGAAATTTCCCTCGTACCGTCCCGGTACTGGTAATTTTTCTCATACAGATGAGGCCTTATTTCGGTACCCTTATTTAATTCCAGAGGTTTTTAAGTTGGGGTTTTTTTTGCCCTTGTTGACTTGTAAAAGCCTATATGACATTTTTTATATCACCACTCATTAACCGCACAGAGAAGGCCTTGTTTAAATATGTTAAAATTTTCTTTAAGTAAACATTATTAAAGTTCTTCAGTACTGGGCCAGGTGTCCTCTTCTTTGGAAATCAAAATATGGTCACCTATGGTATGCAAACTGGTGGGGGTCGAATTCTGGGGGGAGGAAATCCTTGATGTGCTGAAGGACTAGTCCAGGGGTTGGCAACTTTTGGCTCCGGAGCCACATGCGGCTCTTTAGTCTTTATACTGCGGCTCCGTGGTTTAGAAAAATAAATTGTAAAAGTATTTAGCTGCATGAGGGCCACAGGGTGCTAATTGTTCAGGCTGGTGATGGGAGACTTTTTTGGCACTGGGATGATTGTGGCTGATTTTAGACAGGATGGGATCAAATCAAATCTAAATTTATTTATATAGCACATATTAAAAACAACAAAGTTGACCATAGTGCTTCCCAGTCAGTAAAAGCATGAGACAATTAAAACAAAACAATAAGAAAACATAGCAGGAAACAATAGGTGACAACACAACAAGCCAGATAACAGCCAACTAGTTAGAATCAAAAGCCAAAGTAAAAAGAGGTTTTATAATGGGATTTAAAAGACTAGATAGACTCGGCGGTACGAATATTAAAATTGTTGGGTTTTTCTCTGTATCTATGAAGCGCCTTGAGGCGACTTTTGTTGTGATTTGGCGCTATATAAATAAAATTGAATTGAATTGAATTGAATTGAATTGAATATGAACAGGGAGGTTATTCCAGAGTCTAGGTGCCTCTCGACTTCAGTCAAGACCTTGGATGTACTAGGAGCATCTGATTGGACGATCTTAGTGCTCTATTGGGATTGTACAAATGGAGAAGTGAAACTTTCTAGATCCTGGTGTTCAAATATGGCCCAGTCTGTCTTGGGTGGTGGGCCTGGCACTGCGTCTGAGGGGGTGTAGGCTGGGGAGAGCAGGAGGGAGAGGTAGTTGGACTGACCGAGGTGGGGGAGGGGTATGGCTCTATATGCATGCTTGATGTTGGAGTAAACATGGTCTAGACTCTAGAGTGTTCTCTCCTCTGGTGGGACATTCGACATGCTGATAGAACTTTGGAAGCACAGTCTTTACGTCGGCCTTATAAAAGTCACCTGCAATTATGTGAACACCGTTCGGGTAGGCCCGCCGCTGTTAACATGCTGGGAACTGATCTGATCTGATCTGATCTTTAGGCAGAAGTGCATGTATTTATCTGACACAACGCCTCTGACACGGTCCCTAAATACTGGAGCTCCTAAGTTCACGTGTGGGATCATGTAACCTATCACATGACTGTGGGGAAAGCTTGAACGTGGCTTTGTTCGGGTTTTTCTAAATTACATTTTTTTATTCTGCTGAAATGTAAACTTTAAGCGGTGTTTTTGTAAAATACATTTCACAGCCCCTAACGCTGACAACAGCGCCCCCTGCTGGGTTTTTTTTGCTTTAACGTTTTATAAACTGCAGATATGTAAACGTCATGACGCAGCGTGCGCAGGGGGAGTGGCCTAACACCCGGTAGTAAAGTGCAGTCATCAGACTGAGTGAAAACAACAACATCAGCTCGATGTTTGCGTGACTCTCGCGGAGGCTTCAGCACCTTTTTCCTGCCGTTTCCCCGGGGGAGAGACAGCCCTCGCACGCCGACACTCCGGCCTCTGTCCCGCTGACTCCCCGGCCTGTGTTCCCCTGAGTCCCCGGAGGAGGGCCTTCCGCAGCGGGCAGAAATGTGGATCCACCCGGAGGAGGTGCTGCTGGCCGGGGCACTCTGGGTGTCCGAGCGGGCGAACCCGTTCTTCGTCCTGCAGAGG